AGACTGACATTTAAGAAGTCAATAATCTTTGGCAAAAGAAAAGGTACAATATTATGAAGTAAATATAGTCTTTTAAATAAATGGTACAAGGAAAGCTGAACACACACAATTATATATAGCCATTTCAGCTCAAAACGAATCATAAAACTAAATGTAAAATTGCAAAGCTATAAGGCTCCTAAAAGATAACATAGATGAAAACTTAGATGACCTTGGGTATGGCAGTGGCTTTTTATACACAGTGTCAAAAGCATAGCCTGTAAAATAAATTATTGGCAATCTAGATTTTATTAAAATTAAAGCCTTCTACTCTGTGAAATTGATACCATGAGCATGAGAAGGCCAGACACAGACTGGGTGAAATATCTGTGAAATGTACAACTAGAACATAGGATTATTGTCTAAAATATACAAGGAACACTTACTTATAACTCAACAATAAGACAACCAACAAATCACCAAAGAAATGGACAAAAGGCTGGGTGCATTGGCCTATGTCTGTAATTTCAGTGACTCAGGACACTGAGGCAGGAGAATTTCAAGTTCAAGAACAGGCTGGGCAACTTAGCAAGATTTTACTGCAAACTAAAATATAAAAGGAACTGCAGATGTGGCTCAGTGGTTAAGCATCCTTGGTTCAATCCCTGGTCCAAAACAAACAAACAAAAAAAATGGACCAAAAACTGTACAGACACTTCACCAGAGAAAATATACAGATGGCATTAAGGGCATTAAGTCTAAGAAAATCTTTTCAACATTTTATGTCATTAGGGAATTACAAACTATAACAACAATGAAATAACACTACACATCTGTTATAATGCACATAACTCAAAAACACTGACAGCACCAAAGACTGACAAGGATATAGAACAGCAGAGGCTCTCATCCTTTGCTTGTGGAAACAGAAAATGGTAGAGACACTTTGGAAGATATCATGGCATTTTCTTTCAAAACTAAATACATTCTTACCAAATGATCCAGCAACCACATTCTTTGATATTTATTCAAATGAATTGAAAACTTCTTCACAAAAAAGCCTCTATATGAGTGTATTCAGAGAGTCTATTAATAACTGACACACTTGCAAGCCATCAAAATATCCCTCAGTAGGTTAAAAAAATAAATTTTGTGCATCCAAACAATGAAATATTATTTAGTAATAAAAAAGATATACTATCAATCATAAAAAGACATGAAAAAAATTAAATGCATACTACTCACTGAAAGAAGCTAATCTGGAAAAGTTACATATTGTATCACTACAAATATCTGATTTTTGGAAAAGGCAAAATTTTGGAGACAGTAAAAGGTTTAGAGGTTTCCAGGGGATTGGGGGTAGAAAGAAGAATAGTCAAAACACAAAGAAAAAAATTATGTGTGTGTGTGTGTGTGTGTGTGTGTGTGTGTGTGTGTGTGTGTTGATCCCAGGGGTGTTTACCACTGAACTACATCCCCAACCCTTTTTTAATTTTTTTGTTTTGAAACAGGATCTCCTTAAGTTACTTAGAGACTCACTAAGTTTCTGAAGCTGGCCTCAAATTTATGATCCTCTTGCCCCAGCCTCCCGAGTTGCTGGGATTATAGGTATGTACCACCACACCTGGCTACTCAGAGAATTTTTAAGACAGTGAAAATGTTCTGTGTGATACTTCAAAGATGAATACATGTCATTATACATTCATCTAAATCCATGTAGTGTCCAACACCAAGAGTAAACTCTAATATAAAACTTTGGGCCATGGATGCTAATGTGTGTTGATGTAGGTGCATTGATTGTAACAAATGCATTACAAGATGTTGACAGTTGGAGAGTCCTGATTGTGGAGAGGAAGAGAGCACATGGGAAGTCTCCATATTTTTTTAATTCAATTTTGCCACCAATATAAAACTGCTCTAAAAAGTTCATTTATTTTTTTAAAAACCTTGCTTTTTACATATTTTTATGCCTTTATGACTAGTTTCAGGGTGTAAAAATGAGACATGTTGTATGGTAAAATAATATTACTACTGTTCTAAAACCATGTAGTTCTAACAGCATGATATGTATGAGGTCTTAATTTTATCCATTTCCGAAATTCATTACACATTTTAAATGCAGAAGCTATTATGTCCAAACATCTGTTAGGTCCTAAAATTTCCAGAAGGAACAAATGACAGTCCCTATTTCAATTGGAGCAAAGGTCACATAAATGAAGAATTGGGATAAAGTATGAAGGAATGGCCACAAGAACGGCACATAAAACCATTCACCTCGTTTTCACCTTCCCATTTTTTCAGTTCCCCTTAATGTAATCAAATAAAATAATGTATTTAAATGTTTTTGAAATGCTAGTATGTCTTAGTCACCAAATAATATGAATTTAAATGTTTTTGCTGATACCATGTTTCATTTTTAAAAGGTAGCTTATAAAAATGGCATATATCACACAAATTATCGCTTCATGTCTAAATATTGGTATTTTTAAATGGAGAATAATATGCATAATTATATGTGTGTATCATATTTAATAATATAGTTAAAGAATGAGCTATACATCATATTTACCATATTATACATAATAATATACTACATTTAATAGTGTAACTATAAATGCCTACATTTTTGTACTGGAAAGCCTCTTTTGAAAATGCTCTGTGGAATTTTCTCCTCTGTCCCCACTCCTTTTATTTCTCACTTTGCTCAGAGTTATACTGTCAAAGCAAGTGAGGAATTAAAAGAATTTTTTTTAAAAAAAGTAGAAATAACAACAATAACCAAAAAAATGGGAAGAAGAGAAAGTGAGAAGCACAACATTAACAAATGCATATTTAACCGAGTCTGGGAGATCAAGGCCGACGGCACTTGGTAAACACTCTTTGGAGACACAGTGCTCAAAGGTTGTGTTTGCTGTTGTGCTTGGCGTTTGCTTTGCCTGTGATCTAAGACACCAGATGACCAGTAATCTCACTTGCCCTTTCTTTTCCTACTCTCTGAGGGCTCTGCATACACCTCCTCCCCCCACCCTCACAACCTTGCCTGCCCTTGGCCATGGCCCAGCTCCCTTGCTCCTGGAAAGATGTCTGGGATGGTTAGGATTCCGCAGGTCACACCTTGGCCTGTCAGGACCTGGCGCCTCCTGTGCCCAGCATTAGCCCATCGCTTCATTTCACCTCCAAAGAGTCCAGCGACAAGTCTGCCTTGTTAGACTCAAATCTCAGTGAGCCCAAGGCAGCCGGCAGTTTCCCGTTTGGTTTCCTGTCATATCTCCTTATGTTTTGGCAGTCTGCGATATCCACAGTTCTTATTAATCTCAGTGAGAGCCATGCCACGGAGAGTGAATGCTAGGATAGGTGACTTGACTCCGGGGTTTTTACACTTAGTCTGCACAAGGTCAGTATTTACAAACTGCATATGGTTGGGCTTGAATTCATGACAAATTTTTAAAGTTTTAGTTTGATTCAAATCCTCCATAATATACTAAAGCTATGCAAAAGTCGAGGGGACTTGCCCATGGCACTTCCGTTTGAAAGGTTTAATTCAACTTTATCATGCATTACCTACCAGCTTTGGACTTCACAACATCTCTCAAAGATGGAAGGGTAAATAGTTCTTCCATTCACTGCATTCTATTCAATTATTATCCACTCATTCATTTAATAAACTTTTTTGGAGAATTATTAGCTTCTTGTCACTGTGACCAAAATTTCCAACCAAAACAGCTCAATGAAAAGATTGGTTTTTGGCTCATGGGTTCAGAGGACTCAGTCCCTTGTTAGCTGGTTCCATTTCCGTGGGCCTGAGGTGAGGTAGCACATCATGGCAAAGAGCATGACAGAGGAAAGCTGCTCTGCTCATGGCAACCAGTATGCACAAGGAAAGAGAAAGGGGCCAGAGAGAAGATAAATCCTTCCAGGACATTTCTCCAGTGACAGACTTCTACTGACTAGGTTCCACCTGCCAATAGTCCATTCAGGTATCAATGGATTAATCATTTAGGCAATGACTAATCATTGCTCAAAAGCCCCATTTTGGAACCTCACTGGGGACTGAGGACCATGCTTGCAACACATGAGCTTGCGGGTGACATTCCAGATTGAAACTATGCCAAGAACTTTTTCCACTTAGCCCTGATTTTGGAGTGGAACTAAGGAACAACATATTGAATTATGTTCTTATCAGAGAAGCAGAGAATTGGGCAAATTGTACACATAGTAAGTGCGATGACAGATAAGCAGAGAACAGCATAGTAATCCAATTTGACAGTGTAAGAGGGCACAAGTGAAGGCTGCTCAGAGGAGGCAGAGCCTGAGCTGAGACCTTGAGAAGCAAGACATTGCCAGGAAAAGAGGACACAAAAGACCCTGACATTCTGCACCTATTTACTACTTCTATAAACCCAATGACATTCTTATTCATATCATTGCCTCTTTTCAGATGTTTCAATCCAGGTTTAATGCAGTTATAGGACATAGGGAGTCAATTATCAAATAGCTGGCAGAGATGGGACAAGGTACTTGGCCTATCTAATTCCTGATTAGTGCTATTTCCACAAAGTGAAATCATTTCCTCAGGAGGAACGAATGTCATTTGAAGAAGGCATTGAGAGTACAGAAGAATCAAATGATACATTTAGATAGCTTCAACCTATCAGAAAACAAACAAACAAAAAATTCTAAGAATTTTGCCTGAAGTACACCAATTTTCTAAGTCCCTAGTACAAAGTAAATGGATGAGATTTTCCATTTCTATTTGAAAATGGGCGTATTATGCAGTGACTCTTGAATAATGTCTGTGAAGCACAGGCCACTACTTAAACTTTTCTAAACAAAAAATAGTACCCAATTACAGTAAAATTCTGTACTTTTTTGGGTGTGTGTGTGTGCGGGGGGTCATTAGAGAATGTAGAAATTTGCTCTTATCCAGCCAAAGAGAATGTATTAAATCCTTTTATTGAATAATGAGAGGAAGTGAAACAAGTAAAAGAACATAAACACATTTCTCCTGTAAATTTTCCTAGAAAAACAACAGGAAGACCTTTACCAAAAAAAAATCACTTAGAAAAATTACTCAATGGAAAACCACAAGACTGAGAATGACATCTCCACCGGTACTTGCTGTGCAGCTCCGGATGCTCCACTTGAGCAGGGTAGGCACTTGGCTTCTATTATATATAAATAGTCATGGTATTTCAGTTAACAGTGTTTCCGTGGATAAGTTAAATGACATTCCAGAAATAATTAAAATCATAAAATCCTACACATAAAAAGGTAATGTTTAAATTTACAACAAATTAAGTATCTTGCATGTATTAATAAACAATATTTTTATGAGCAGATATTTGAGGGAAAGAGTTCATACAGACATCTCAGGAAAACCTCGAATCTCCAGGAGGCCAGATTATAGCAACTCCTGTTATGCTGTCTGTAATTTATTTTAAATACTTTAGGATAGACAAAATAATGTGTGAGTGGATGAAATACCTGTGCTTTACACGCTGGAGTGAGTTTATTTTTTGAAATATGCTAATGAAGAATCCACTACCCAAGGGTAGTTGAACCATTTGAAAAACATTAATCAGTGTTCTATAACTCAAAAGTTGTAATTCTTAGTGTAATGACTAAATAACTATGAGGTTTTCTGTTTGGGGTACAAGGAACTGAACCGAGTGTGGCTTCATGCTGAGCCCAGTCCCTAAATCCCTTTTAATTTTTTTTATTTTTAGACAGGGTCTCACTAAATTGAAGAGAGTGGTCTTGAATTTGGTGATCCTACTGCCTTAGCCTCCAGAGTAGATGGGATTACAGGCATGTGCCATCAGGCAGGCCCATAAATCCCAATGGCTTCTAACACCACTTCCCATCTGCAGTAGAAGAAAAAGACATTTGAAATACATTTTTCCCATTGTAAAGGTGATATGAGAACATGATGAACCCATGCTTACCATCCTTCAAAACTGAGCCCTGGCTCTAGGACTCTCTTTCTTGCCCATGGCCCAGGGTATATATAATAGAGAACTTGCCTAATTATAACTAAAGACTAGCTGATTCTCCCTCAAAACTATTGTCACACAGGCCCCAGAGCAGTTTTTATGCATGGTACTGGTCAGTGTCTGATGGATGGAGAGCTGGGACTTCACCTAATTTAAAGAATGGGAATCTAAGTGTTGTGTACCCTTGGTGAGAAATCTGTGCTAGATTGCATCTGAAACTTACTTTCCCATAATGTCCCTCATGGTGTGTGGAAGGAGGAACTTGGAGCACATGGTTACCTCTAAGTGGTGGGGAGAGAAGTAGGGAAGGGTTGAGATAGAAATCAACTCAAAGAGCCTAATAATTGTGATTGGATGAATTGCCTTAAGCCATTTCACCATTCATTTCTCTTTTTAGCATTATTTGGAAAAGCAATTCATGTTTCCCTTGTGAAATGTGCCAAGCATCTACTATAAACTGTGTATGTTGGGGAGATTATTACTTGGTGTACCATAACACAAGTTCTTATTCCAAAAACTTCAAAGAATCTATTTCTTGAAAGCATTGCTTCCAGTGAGGAGCTAATGGGATTTCATCTTTTTTAATAACAAGGATCATGCAGCTGGCATTATTATCTCCCTTTTCACTCTGTCTTTTTTAAAACCCAGAATTGTTTAATGTTCAAATTTATGCCCTCTGGGCTGATACAAACAGCTTTCATTTTAGTTTTCATCCTTTATGTTTCAATTTTTGAATTTTAGTCAAATTGCTCTATTTTTATTATAATGAATTTTTATTTTATTTGCTACCTTAAATGCTTTACCCACCAAATGGATTGCAAATACAAACATATTTACAACTAAATTTATCATATAACATAGATTTTAAATGGTAAGAGAATTTGGCAGCATTAAAAATTTTCTCTCTATCACAAGTTTAATTTCATAGTAAATAATTGAAGAGTCAAGAAGTTTGTGAACATTAGAAGCTGCAGTATAAAAGCTGAGGGCTATTGTAACAACTTTCAATGTGTACTAAATTATGAGAAAATGGAAAGTGTGAACATTTTAATAAGGAATTTAATTAATGTACTTTTTTATCAAAAGATGGTTTGTTCAAACAATAAAATTAGAAAAAAAGTTCTAACAAGACATCTTTTACTTGATATCTTTAATAATGTTTATTAATGCTTAATAATGTAATATCTTTCCAAGTTTTCTGTATTGTAACAGAAGATTATCAAGCACAGGTTTTAAATAAATAATCTTCCTATTCCTAATACCATCACCCATCCCATCTCCCAGCTAATAATAAATGCAGAATCTAATGCAATAAAGGGTTTAATGCCATTGTGAAGCTTGGGTTATTTCAGGTGCTGAATTTTTTCCTTGTAGAAAATCAGGAATGCTCATTCAAATGGGCTGGAGCCATTGATTGGCGATTGCTACTTTCAACATCCATGAAGCAGTGGCCCAATCTTTCCCTTTAACATTTATTTCCTTTGTCCTCAACATCTTTGAGGCTTAAAATTGGGATTACTTTCTTAATCTTCATGTTGTAGTACTTACCATCTCTCTCATTAGTCTAATTTGAGTTAATTAGAATCTATGTTACTTCTCAGACTGTGTTATAGAAGAACAATTGGAGAAAGAGGCACAGACACAATTATGCCATTTTATTGTCTGGAGGAGACAGAAAGCCAGTGGGGCTTCCCTTATTAGGTTAACATCTACCTGACTTCAAAATGTTCCACTGATACAAATAGTAAAGAGAGCCATTGGGAGTTCCAAACTCCATCCCTTTTTCCCTTATATCCACCATACAATCTGATTAATCCTAAGGTGATGGAAGAAAAGAAATGTTCTATGTGTCAAAATGACAAAGTCCATTACATGATTTACAAAATGAGTCGTGTGGGTGATAGTTGTGGGTGAGCTCATGTTTTTATTCTTAAACTGAATTCCTTTTTTGTCATGTTTTATTAAAATCTCCCATCAAATCTATGTGAATGAAGTATGTGCCTGAATAATCTCTTCGGACAACCACAATGATTTGATAAATGTGAGAATGAAATAAATATAAAAGCTTTGTGGCTCCATTACATCCCAAACGTTGACAGTCTGGCAGTGGGGTATGGTTTGATGCCCCAAAGGAAGCTTTGCTTTTGATGAGAGATTTGCAAAGACTTTTGTTGTAAAGATAAGACACTGCATTCTTAAAAATCGATGTGGTTTAAGCCTGCCCTGAATTTCAATGAAATTCATAAAAATTTCAAAAGAAACATGATATGCAATATAATTAAATATATTTGTCACTTACTGTATTTAAGTGAACTGCCAATTTAATGATTAAAATTAGTGTCTATTAAGTAGATAATAAATATGAATGAGTCATTAATGTTTAGCAAATAGGTTTTTTATTTTCTCTCCAATACATAGGTACCAACAATATTCATTGTGTAGGAAGAAAGATCTCGAAACTCACTCCTTAAGAAAATTCTAATTGAAAATCACTGAGAGCCATTAGAACATGAATAAATGTAAAACAAATGAAAAACAGATTTTAAGGTACCAAGATCAGGTGGTAGGAAACAAAATAAATGTCAGCTACTTAAGAAATCTACATTGAATAAGAAACTACTAATACTCTTCCAAAAGGGATATTAAGGACTTATCTGAAAGATATTCTCCTCAGAGCCCACTAGATTCATAAAAGCACTAGCTAAGTTGTTTTTCCTTATCTTTAAGTAAAAGATAGCATGAAAGCATTGCATATCATTAATCAAAAATAGGTTTTAATTGACTGTAGTGCAAAATTGCTTCTCAAAAATGGATGATATTTTCTGGAAAATTTTCAAGGTAGAACTTTTTTCATAGGTTCACTTATATGTTATATAGAATAATTTAAATAAATATGTTATATTTTGGGGGATACTATATATCCAGGTATTTTGTGGCTCTTTTAAAACATAAATTAAATAATAAAATATGATAAATATATTTTATTGAAAATTAAAATGCAATGAGTTATATGGTTGGGTCTGTCTTTAGCCTATTATATTTATTTCTGGTGCAATGCTTATGTCTACGGAACTGAATAACAAGTTATGAGTTTTAATTTTGTTTGCAAGAGCAAATGCATTCTATATGAATCAAAAGGGGAAATTCACTCCAACTTTCTTGACTGTAAAATAAAAACAATACCTGCTTTACTTATCTCCTAGTATTACTTAAAAGTGTATATGAAAGTTGGAAGACTAATAAAACCTTTTTACAATGAAGTAATAATTCAGGATTTTTAATTAAACTATGGTGTAATTTATATAATTTTATGTGTTCTATTAGTCATTTAAAAATTAAAAAAGTGAATTTGAAATTTTCAGTCACATTTTATTTAACACCACATATTGTAAAATATTAACCCAATATATCAATAATATAAAAAAGTAATATGAGCATTCTCCTTTTCTTTTTCCAGTTTTTAGTAACTAAATCTTCAAAAGCCAATGCATATCTTATACTTAAAGCAAATCTCAATCTAAAGGCTAAATTTTTACCATAAATATTTCATCTGTATTGAGATTCATCAAATTTCTTGTTGAGAAAATTGTAGCGAGCATATTTAACATTTTTAAAAGTAAAATTAAAGATAGGTTCTACAGTCGCCCTTTCTTACACACTTAGTCGCCACAGGTGACCTTAGGCTATTGTGCTGAACAGCATGATAAAATTAAGTAACCATCATAATTGTTTAAAATATGTATTTGTTAATAATAGGATATGCTTTTGTATTTTTAAAAGGCATTGGATCTCAAAATGTAACAAACATTTAAAATACTATATTCTGATAAAGAAGTAAGTTAGTCATCAAACATAAAAAGTAATATCTTGATAAAATGTCTAGGTTTTATAGATTATGCAGAGTAATGGATGTCTACCTTGGTTCATATCAGTTTCTGGTATTAGCTTATAAACCTACTCTGTCATTTTTTTGTCATAAAATGACTCTGATATCTATAATACTTGCATTCATAATTTTCTCTTTAGAATACAAATAACTCAAATGTTGCCACATTTAAAACATCTCTTATGCCCCTTTTAATTTGATTGAATTTTATTGTGTTTTTACTTTCAAGGAAAGAAAGAGAAAATTCAATTAATTTCTTTGTTCATAAGAG